CTCTCCTCTGCCGCCACGGCGCCTAAACGCAAAAGAAAAGGGCAACCTCTTGATCCCCCTTCTGATTCAATTTATTTGAGCAATCAATTTGATATGCTTATGGATGATGAGAATGTTCCATCATTCAAGGAAAATTACACTATACTTTCCCGGCTTAGTGCCAAGAACGAAACGGTTACCCCTATTGTGATAACCATTTCAGATTTCCGTGCTCTTCGCACGGAACTTTTGAACTTCATTAAATTCAAGTTTTCACTTCAATTTTTTCACTTACGACACCAAAACTTTACGTCTGTTCAAGGTTGTCTTGAAAGGTATGCCCAGTGGTGAATCCCTGGATCAAATCAAAGCACAGATGAATTGAAAAAATACTTGGAGTTGAGCCAGTCCAAGTAATCAAAAAGAAAATGAAATCTCATCCTGGCGATTCGCGCAACGGGATTTTTATTATTTTTTTGTTTAGTTAACTTCAAGTCTAGTGAACTAAACATTCTTATGGCGTCACGGTATAAAAAAAATGCTACATGCCAGCTAAATGCAATAATTGTGTTGATTCCTCTCACGTAAAGGACGACTGTCATGTGAAGCAAGATCCTAAGGCATTTAAATGTTCAAAATGTGGTGAAATCACAAATCCAATTTTTGGGAATGTAAGCGACCCTACAAACGAAGACTCCCAATCTACAATCTCGTTCTATGCGTCAGGTAGCAAACACTTCACGTTTCCGACTATGTAGTAATTTCTTTGCTGTTAACAAATTCTACATTCATCAACAGCTCACAAGCTTCAAATTCTTTTCCATCCCCTACCTCGTGATTTCCGTCAGAATTTCATTAAATTTACCTCAAAATTGTCTTGAAATTCTTATCAGGATTATCTAGAAACTATGCTCTTGGAATGCACCCAAAGTTTCCCAAAGTATTGTAACTACCTTGGAATTTACATCAAAATTCCACGGGATTGTCTCTTAGAATTCTATTAATTTTTTTCTTGAATTTCCCTTGAGGGAATCTCTTGGATTTTTTTTTTTTTTGATCTATTCCGATTCCCTTAGAACTCTTCCCTTAAATTGCCTTGAAACAATATTCCGCATCATCCTGGAATGCTACTCAGAATTCTTTGTAAATTTGATCAAAAACAACTTTGAAGTGTGAAACAGTTAACTATATTGCTCGGTGAATAGTAGTGGAAAACAGCTTACTAAATTATAATTATTTTTACGACAGAGTGTTTTCAAACTGAGTCCGCAAAATCGGCAAACTCCTCATTGAACTACACTTTTGAAAACCCTTTCTCTTATGCGTCAGTACGATAAATCGTACTGCCAAAAAGCGTGTTCAATTTCTCGATCCGGCTAGTTCTTCTCAGAGCAGGTCAGGTAAGAATTAGTGAAATTAACTCAAAACGTGTAAAAGACTCTAAAAATCCTGATATAAACTGGAATCTTCCACTGGCCAACCTAGCGGTCGACTAGAATACGTACAGCAAGGGCTAAACCTGGATATGCAATTATTTTAGTGGTTCTGTCCTAGGGCCCTGAACGTGCACGTTTTTCCAATGGAACAATTGGTTTGATCTAACCTGTTCTTTACAGCAGCAGTTTGTTATCGACGGTCCTCGCCGTTGACGCCACAATCACTGATGTAGATGCTGTCGCTTGGTATAACTCGTGGGCCTAGTTCGACTTGGCTGCCGCCAAGAAACAACTCGAAGCAACCACGATTCGCGCGCCAGTCTGAGGGCGCAACGTGCTAGGCTATGCACCGATGCTGATTCCGTTGTCAAATATCGGCACTGTGTACTATCGTCGTCATCCAAGCGGTCAAAGATGATGGTGGAACGGATCCACACCTGGCCCTAGTTCAACTTGGTGGTCGCCAAGGAACTACTCGAAACCACACGTGACACGCGCAGATTGCTGGGTGCTTGGAAGGGCCACGAGGAAGGTGCTTGATAGAGCTCCAATAAAAAAGGCGATAACAAGTACTTGATGAACCAAACACCCTACTAAATGTTTTACTTTTAAATTAGCCTTTGTGCTTCACTTTATTAGTTCTTAGTGGCACTGAGCTACACAGCTAGTATTCAGTCTGGTTATCTGGCTATAAATTATTTAATTAGGTTTATTAAACTAACGAAAATCGCTACTTACTTTTATAAAACAAAGTTAGCTATCACGCGTTTTATCACTTCTATGCTTAGATAGTATAGCACACTCGGTATAAACGATATAGCACACTTGGGAATATACTTCGACTTGGTAATTAGGCTTGATGATCTGATCGCTCGCACAGGTCTAACCAGAATGACGCTGGCTCATATCAGAAAGATCGTTATCCACTTCGTGGATACGAGAAGTGAATATAGAACTACACTCAATTCTAACGTGTCCTGCTCTTATTGGTTAAAACAACAGCATCCAATGTTGCATTTCACAGCTTTTAGTGAAAGATTAAAATTTAATAGAAGACCACCTTCAAAAAAGTAGTACGATCCGAGGCTAATCTACGGGAGGTATCTATTTCTGCTGAATTTGTTTTTATATATTTAGATGCAAAACCAGCCACTCCACTAATAGAGGCGCTACCATCACTCAAGGGTTACAAGTGCTCTAGATTTCCCTTAAATCTCCATAACAGTTTCTTCTGAACTACCTTGTAGAATTATCTCTAGAATATCTTAAAATTTTGTCCAGGCGATGATTTTTTTTTTAAATCTGAGATCTTGACGAATACGCGATGTTTGATATTTTAAATTTTTCGATGTCTGGAATCTGCTATTAAAAAGGTTATCCCGTGGATTTTTTTTTGTTTTCTAAATAAATTTCCAACTTCAATACTCTTAAAACATTCTTAAATCTTTAAAACATGTATAATTTCGGACTTATTTATACTAATTTATTTAAATTATAAAACAATTAGATACAATATTTGCAGCTGTTTATATGAAACCGGGAACATTATGGTCTGCAACCGGGAAAAAACCTAAAATTTAATTTCTTAAATCCAGTGGCCACCCTGCATAAGTGATGGACGGATTCCGAATCATTTTTTAGATTTACGGATTTCGATCCTGCAATCCTGATAAACTTGCATTTAACTTTAGTTTTCTTTAGACCATCGTCTTCGATCACATGGTCGTATACACTGCTTAAAATGACTTAATCATATCCTCATAGACTAATTTACTAATGTTAAAATCAAAAACCTTACAAGACTTGATTAAAGCAGGGTGGCAAGACAACCAGGAAACCTGGAAAACTGGGAAAAAGTCGAGATATTATTTTCACCAGGAAATCCGGGAAAAAGTCGGGAATTAGAAAATAATCTTGTTCCAATGATTTCAACAGTTCCAAAATTTCACAAGTAATGGTTTAGTTACTTTATTGTGTATTTATCGTTCTTTTTGTAATTGTTTTTCGAATCAATTCAATTGTCATAGCGCCGTGCTTCGTTGATCGCAGAATCGAGTAAAAATTGAAACGTGAATATACTGTGACTAATTATTTACTGAGTCACTTTCAAGTATATTTACAAGTAGCTAGATCGACCAAATCAATTGCAGCTTCTGTAAACATAATGGTGATACTGTTATTTAAATGGAGATAAGTAATTTGTTTTAGTAGATAAAATCAATCCAAATTTGTGGAATATGAGCCAAAAACGACTCACTCACTGATTTGAGATCTTATAGGTGAGAACGTTTTTCATATTCTTTCAGCTTCTCGCCTGTTTCGTTCTACTGCTGCTGTCAGTTACGAGTCTATTGGCAGTTATCTGCTTGGCAGAATCAATACTCGCCCAGCTATCTTTTTGCATTCATAATGCAGTGCTATATTACTATTTATTTTTTTAATTTTCACTAGCCGAAGGGAATCTGGGGGAGTGGGCGCAGTGGTCTACTGCGGTGCAAAATGCTTACTATTTTAAACTTAAAAATTGGTTTGCATGAACTAGATTTTAGGAATATTTTAATAATTTATACGGAAATCAAAATAAATACATTTAAATAGTAGCATCAGCGGCGCCGGTGGTTTAGTGGTAAGCGTAACTGCGTCTCACTCCAAAGGGGCCTGTGTTCAATGCCAGTTGGCGCCGTCTGGATTTTCTGAGGCATAAAATCTCTGATCACGCCTTCCTTCGGAAGGGAAGTAAAGCCGTTGGTCCCGGGTCCATGAGTTGATCGGTCGATAGGTAGCGTCCTGGTGCGAAGCTGCCTCCCTGCTGTCGGTAGCATTGGTGCTCAGTACGGAAAACAAGATCGACGGAAAACAAATCATGGAAAAAAAAGCTGGAAGGACACTAATGGTAATTACCGTGTTGCAACGTAAGAATCCAAACATCGCATTCGCTTTGACGACTGTCACCGAGATGTGCTCATGAGAACGCAACTTGCTGTCAAGGATGACTCCTAAATCCTTGATCGAACTCTTTCCAAAGGCGAGAGCAGCAGCAGCCGACCGAACAACATGGGAACCAAACCAGTTCCAACAATAGGAGACCAAGCTCCAAGTCAACTGATGAGACAAGGAGGCAGTTTTTCAAGCAGTGTGTGCCAGTAAAGTATGCCACTCAAATCCTAATTGACGATTAACCTTATAGCGAATTCGATTACCTTGATTATCTTGATACTCGATCCAGGTTGAAACTAAATCAAAAACAAATTTGGTATTAGTGACCTGAGCTGAGCGATGGAGGTAGCGTTCTATTTGATGTTGTTATCCTTCATTTGGTGCTAGTTGTGTTCAATTTGGAACAGGTTGAGAAACCGAGCTCTGGTCATACACACACTCATATTCAGATTTGGGTGAGCTGAATAGATTGATATTTGAGCTTCCAGGCCACGGATCGCAATTCGGATTTTAAAAATGTAAGAAAGAAGACATTACGAACAACTGGGAATCACTCTCGAAACAAAAATGGAAATAAAGTCTGTGTATGAATTAAGAAATCAAAACTAAGCTTACACTTCCCCACAATCCTAGTTTGAACCTACTCACCGGTTGCAGCGCCAAGTATCCGCCGATCCACGGATAATCCACATTGGGATCTGTTTTATACGTATTTATCGGACTACGATCTCCATGGCGGAAGAAAATAATCACTTTCTGAAGAGATCTAGAACTTCCAAAACGAACAGACGCTTCACAGCACAAACATCCTAACAGCAGGAGACCACCTAGCACCTTGAACATTTTCCACTCAAATGAATAAGCCGTTTCGCGTGGATTAGAAAGTTGATAGGCTCCTTCGTGATGACTGGCTCTGATTACATAATGATTTCGCAAAACAAAACTAGCCGATTCATCTAACTCGGCACGTGCTCACAACCGGTAAATAACTTATTTCTATGTATAAATATGCATTCTACCACGTTGAACAAATCTCATCATAATCGTCAAGTAACAGCGGCTTAACCGTCCGTTCGAACTTAGTCAGCGAACAAGGTTCGGCGCAGTTTGGAATCGCCAACTCCGCGGGGTTTTCAATCGATGAATTCTCGTAGTAAAACATGAGCAATTCTAAATCCTTCCAGAAGTCTTTGCTCTTGTGCAGCTCAAAAACGACCGCCGAGCCCAGTTCCGGCCGTCGTCGTATCTGTTCCTTCATACCTAAAGCGTTGAATAGATTGACTTGCGTCAGATCGTGACCCGAATAGAAGAACATTCTGCGATTCTGCTTCAGCTTTCCGTCACGTTTTGCCTTCATTTTTCGCAGATATTCACTCAAAATTGCCCCACCCCGAATGAGTTTCAGCTCCGCCGTCGCCGAATAGCTAAGTAGGAATCCCAGCAGGAATGCCCGAGCCCGGTCCGGGAAGATTTGATAAGCCCAGTCGGGTTGCTTCAGTCCCATCCCATTGTAAATCTCCAAATTGTCGCAAATCAATGCCGTGTCGTAGAGGGAAGTGATGGGTTCACCGACTTCCGCGGAAATCAGCGCCTGTAATGCCACTCCCTCCCGATGCAATGCCGCCAGGAATGAGCCGCTGTTGGCCTTCTCTTGGGCGGAGATCACTTTCACTTTCTGGCAGGTCTTGTTTTGTAAAATGTACTGAAAACAAAGATAATTAGTGGCGAAATTCAATCGTTGATCTTGCAAACTCACAGTATCTTGATCCGGAGGAATTACATGTATCGGAACGGGTTGTCGACGAATTTCGGAACCATTCGATGTCTTCAGGAATCCCGTCAGAAAACTCTGGGAGCTGTCTATGCAGCGCTGGGCGCAACTACTGACGGCGTAAATGCTTCTTTTCATCGTGGCAGTGTCCTCGGGAATGAAAAATTTGTACCGACGACGCATGTTCCGACCAAGTTGGTACAGTTGCTCGAATCCTTGCTGTGAATAGTGACAGGAATGGTTAGATGGTACTTAGTTAAATGCTCTTATTGAGCAAATATACCGGTTGCAATTCTCCAGGTCCATTCAGCCAGGGATAGTCTGCGTGTGGATCCGAGGGAAATGACTGTACCGGACTACGGGCTCCGTGACGAAACAGTGTCAAAATCATCCTCAGCGAATCACCCTCACTCGGTTGACAGGACACATCTTTGTTCATGTAAACTTGCACAACCAATAACACGAATAATACGTTATACACCTTCATGTTTACAACTTCTCACTAGCAAGAATCAACTGACGTGTATAATTCCGGAGAATGGCACTCCTCCAACACGTTTTCACTAGCTTTTATAGTCATAATCCTATGAATGTATGATTGATATGTTATGCCAATAAATCGTCTAAGCAATAGCTTCTTCCGACTTTTGCTGCGTTCTATTCACACTTCCTGAGAATAGTACGGTTGACCTTAGTTGCAGCGTAACATCCGTCTGGTGCATTTCATCTGGGTGCATATCGCTGGTGATTGAACGTTAGTTCCTTATTCCTCATCAGCCACATATGTACACTAGACTGATGCAAATTTTGACATTTTCGCTCCACAGTGCTCAAACGGTTCCAAATCGGGTCCTGATTAGTCTCCCAAAATTTGAACTCATTTGAAAAGAAACTGACTTGGCACAAACCATTTGAAGTTTATATGGAAATTACTATGGGAAATCCAAACTTTTTGTTCATTGTCTTCTTACCTTTTTCCATATGGCACTGTTCAAAAATTCAAAAGCTATACTTATGGAAAATTTTCTCAGCTTCAACTTAGCAGAATGTAATTGTTGAGCCAAACGTCAAATAAAATAGTTATTAATTGTTTAAGAGATTGATAATCTTATGGCATGATCAAGCAGCTGTTTTGTGAGCAACACTGTATCTTGCAGTGTGACATAGTAGCCATGATTTTTGTGCTCTATTCCAAGCGCCAGAAACACCAATGTTGCCTGCTGAACAGTTGATTGAGCATAATCGTAAGACATTAGTGGTTTGAATTATTGATAACTTTTGATGCTAACATTATATTGAAAAGTGGTTCAGGACAAAGTTGTAGCTGAGAAAATTTTCTACGAGCTTAGTTATCATTTTTCAAAGCAGAGCTATATGGTAAATTGTTAGATGGATATGAACAAAACATTTGGTTTTCCCATAGTAATTTCCATATAAACTTCAAATGGTTTGTGCGAAGTCAGTTTCTTTTCAAATGAGTTCAAATTTTGGGAGACTAATCAGGACCCAATTTGGAACCGTTTGAGCACTGTGGAGCGAAAATGTCAAAATTTGCATCAGTCTAATGTACACCCTATTCTGTTTTTACACGATTTTCATGTTTTTTTTTAATATTTTTCCCTCATGGACGATGGTTACAGCAATTTTAATACCAGGGTAAACGCACCAATAGTGGAGGTACGTTAGTGCAATGTTACTATAGTGGCTTATGAAGACTCCATAAGCCACTATAGGAACGTACCTCCACTATTGGTGTGTTTACCCTAGGCGATAAAAAATCTCGAAAAAATGAATTGAGTATGTGCAACACGTAAATACATTTCTCTGTTATTCAATCTCTCTATCTGTTTCTCTCTCTCCCGACAGGGTCAAGTGATAACCTTCCTGGACGCTCACTGTGAATGCACGGAAGGCTGGCTGGAACCGCTGTTGTCACGTATAGTGCTAGACCGCAAGACTGTTGTGTGTCCCATCATTGATGTGATATCGGACGAAACCTTTGAATATGTGACCGCTTCCGACCAGACGTGGGGTGGCTTCAACTGGAAGCTCAACTTCCGATGGTAGCTCTGGCCATTCGAATCTTGTGAGCTAGTTACAATAATCGTCGCTTTTTCCCATCACTACCAACAGGTATCGAGTACCGGCCCGAGAGATGCAGCGACGGAACCACGATCGAACGGCTCCCCTCCGAACGCCGACCATGGCCGGTGGCCTGTTCTCGATTGATCGAGACTATTTCTACGAAATAGGCTCGTACGACGAAGGCATGGACATCTGGGGTGGAGAAAATCTTGAAATGTCCTTCCGGGTAAGTACTATGCTCCAGAACATTGCCAATCCCTTTTGATTTTTAAATTGTTATGATTTATTTAATTTAACGTTTATTTTATCGACCCCCTCGAACCAAATCGAAAAATTCGTAAATCTATCGATGAGCTTAGATATGGCAATGTGGTGGCTTACTAGAGATCGCTCCCTGTTCCCACGTGGGCCACGTTTTCCGCGACAAATCGCCCTACACATTCCCCGGAGGTGTCGCTAATATCGTGCTGAAGAATGCGGCCCGCGTTGCCGAAGTATGGTTGGATGAGTGGAAAGAGTTTTACTATCAAATGAGTCCAGGTTCGAAACCCAAAATTTTCTTCAACTTCCAGTCAGCTAACTCATCCCTAAAAACAACAACACAGAACCATCCCTCTATAAATGCTAACACCACATTCTCTCCTAGAAAAAAAAATCCATGCGAACAGTTTCATCCAACAGCAGTGCAGTGCTTTTTCGATAGATCTCTAGATATGCATTTCGATTTGATACACGCGTGCTTGCAACAGAGATACACTTTTTAGAAAACTACACAGCACCAGTTCACACCCCGTGCCGACGAATTTAGACGCATTCCCATAATGCCGACCTTCTAACATAAAAACGCATAGTGACCACATAGCTTCTCTGTTAGTTTCATATGGACAATTCTCCTCTACTCTCTTACGTTTCTAAACAGCATCCTCCTGTACTTTGTGTGAAGTAGATTTAGTAGGTTATCACACAGTGTGTTCTAACGAAACTACCCACCTGCAGCAGTGTGTGCTCGGTGTCCTCGGCGAATAAATCAACCCATTTGCTCCTCCGACAATCCTGGATTAACGACAATACTATATCTTCAAATCTAATGATTATCCATGTCCTAACACGTTACGAAGTGTGTAACGCTAAACAACAATCTGAGCTCTCTGTTCTTAGTTGCAAGGTAGACAACACACGAACTTTACAGCAAGTCACAGTTTTCGGACTACAATTCCAAACAGGCAGCAGCGGTGGTGGGATCAGGGTGATCCAAATACTCATGTGCTTTTCATCAGTGTTTTTAGTTATCAATGTAAGACAGCACAATAATTCATGATAGGGTAATTTACCCTAACTAATCTGCATATGCATATATCGCCAAAGCAAGAAGCTCTCAAGACACTAATCTGAGAATGTGAATTTGTCGTTTAATAAAAAAAGGTAACAATTCATATTGCCATACCTGATTTCCACGACATCGCTGGAAAAGTCCCAACATTCCTAATATACACACAGCCAATGAGAACGACCCAAATTTGATTTTAGTTTACTCATAAATCACAAAAACTGCAGGAACTCAGCGATGACTAAATTTGACTAAATGCTAGCTTCTCTTAAATGAACACAATGGACGTTGAAGATCAACTACAGTAATTACCCAATTTTGTCAGCCACCTTTTTGAAAATCTTTTCTAATGTTCTTCGAAAACCATCCCAAGCAGGAACGAATATCTCGATACCTTAAATTGGTATGGATGAGCCTGACATAAGAGGAAAAATATCAAAAAATAATACCAAAAAAATGTTACCACAATACCATTCCAATACCAAATTATGATAATCCAATACCAAAACAGTACCACAAAGGTACCAAATATAATTTTTTTTTTGTTATCAAGAAGGTATTTCGCATGTAATTTTTTTGGTATTATTCTTTATGAAGAGCTTTGAGTGTATTGGTTTATTTCCTTTAAATTCCGTTATGATTGCTTATTTTTTGACAGATACGTGTATTTCGTCTACTACTTGCAGACTTCATCAGTGCCAATTACTCAACACCACTGAAGAATCCATCTTTTATCTACGAGTTATATACTACAGTGTTATTCCCTGCATTTGAAATTGGCCACAGAATTCACAATTGAATTTCCACTGTTTTTGACTAAAGTAAAAGTATTGGTGGACTGCGAGGAAAAAAAGGAAAAGAAAGTTACATAACAACAAACTGAGGTCGCTACAATACTATTTGAATTACACTACACAGCAGAGAGACCATAAATCACACAGTTCAGTTAACACAGCTGTGGTTCAATCCGTCAAAGGTTTTGTGGTAAAGGATATGCAATCTCTTCAAAACCTGACGTGGAAGAGGCCACCGTTGACATGGAGACTGCAATCACTCACACACTTCCTATTCAATTACACGAGACTGCCAGGAATATTATTTCAGAGACAATACAAAACGGAAAGGGACATTCACTTAGTAAAACTGAGAAAGAGGAAACTCGAATTCTCAAAGAACTAAAAACAAAGCCGGTATTCTATACAAAAGCGGACAAAGGTAATGCAGTAGTGATTTTGGACAAAGAGGACTATGACAATCAGATGACGGAAAAAATTACTAATGGCCCATACAGACAGTTGAGGATTGACACACATCTTAGAATGCATCTACCTGTTGGAGACTAAATTTAGGAACCTGTTTAGGTAAATTGTGACAAGGCAGTGGATACCTGGTGATTTTTAGTATATATTGATTAGTATTTAACTCGTAGATAATAAATGGATTCTTCAGTGGTGTTGAGTACTTGGCACTGATGAAGTCTGCAAGTAGTAGACGAAATACGCGTATCTGTCAAAAGATAAGCAATCATAACGGAATTTTAAAGAAATAAACCAACACACTCAAAGCTCTTCATAAAGGGATTCCGTTAAGAGGTTCGACAAATTTTGGTATTTTACATCTTATGTCATGCTGGTCAATACCAAATTTGGGTATCAGGTCAGAATTAGGTGTTCATTAGATATTTTCTCCTGCTCGGGATATGCGCTTTTTCAATGGTCTTAATGCAGCAAAGTATACTTTAAACATCCATCTTGAAGATCGGAAAGCTTTGTTACGGTTATGTTCAATTATTAAAAGATAAAAACTTGACGCGTGGAGGGAGGGGGCTGATAAAATCGGGTCTTTTCCGTAAATTTAAAAATAAATCACAAATTATTTTTATTGTCTTATAAGTAAAAAACATATCGAAAATCGTTTCTTCACACTAAATCTAGCTCGGTAAAATCTACAAAACCGATTACTTCGGCATTTACTTTTGCTGATATCTGCATATCTAATTTATTAGCTGAGTCTCGGCAATGGCTATACTGCATATCAGCAAAATAAATCGCAGAACTAAATATTGCTTGAAAAAAAGGTCAAACATTTTACGAAAAGTTCATGTTCTACGATTTTGGTAATTTTTGACGTGTCCATTATGTTCAATTCAGATAAGTTATCATTTTGATAAGTTTCCAAAAATTTAAAAATCTTAAAAATGTAATTTTATTTTTATTCGTATCTTTAAAGGCTGTCCAAATGTATTCATACCAATGAAAATGTACGATTAATTTATTGCTATAATCACTAATGGTTGTAAAAATCCTAAACAAAGAAAACTTAAACATCAAAATAAACGGGTCTGAGGGAAAGCCGTAAAAACATATTCGACCGTTTGACTTGATATCAGGGCTGGTAGCGAGTCACTTTTTAGTGACTTGGTCACTTTTTTCAAGCCAGTCACAATTAAAGTCTCTTTTTTTAAGGTAAAGTCACTAAAGTCACTTTTTCTTGTAATAAGTCAGTATTTCAAACTTTTTTAAACGTGAATTTATTTCAAGATTGATCATTCTTCTGGATATAGGCTTACATTTTGTTCTATTTTTTAACAATTCGAAGTTAACGACCTGGTATAGTGATTTTTTTACGTTTAATCGTTCTTCTCTACCTACACTACCCAAATAACAATTTTGGTTTTATGAGGGTGCTGTAGACCATGATTTAGACTTGTAGAATGCTATAAAACCTCTATAAAGCTTGCAATGTTACTTGAGTAGAGAGATGCAAAATTTGAAATTTTCGCTCCACAACATTTAAACGGTTCCAAATCGGATCCTGAACCCATTTGGTGAGAAACTGAGATGGCACCAAACATTTGAAGTTTGTATGGGAATTACTATGGTAAAACTATCGTAAAACCAAGATTTTTGTTCATGTCTATCTAATAATTCACCATATCGGTCTGCTTCAAAAGCATTCAACAGCTACAACTTTGCTCAAGACCACTTTTTAATTAAATGCAAGGATCGAAAGTTATCAATGGTTCAATGCGCTTATGTCTTTTGATCATGCTCAATCAACTGCTGAGCAGGCAACATTGGTGTTCCTGGGGCGTTGAATAGGACACGCAAATCATGGCTACTATGTCACACTGCAAAATACAGTGTTGCCTACAGAGCAGCTGCTTGATCATGTCATAAGTTTACCAATCTCTTAAATAATTAATAACTTTTTGCTGTCTCGTTTTACAAAGAAACGATCTTCAGCAAAGTTGTAGCTGAGAAAATTTTTCTATAAGAATGGCCATTGAAGTGTTTCGCAGCTCAATATGGAAAAAGACTAGAAGGCAATGAACAAAAAGTTGAGATTTTCCATAGTAATTTACATGTAAACTTCAAATGACTTGTGCGAAGTCTGTTTCTAACCAAATGAGTTGTAACTTTGGGAGGCTAATCAGGACCCGATTTGAAACCATTTAAGCACTGTGGAGCGAAAAAGTCAAATTTTGCATCAGTCTAGTGTCCACTCATTTGGCTAAATCAAGTTCCCTGAGTTTTCCAGGTTTATAATAAGAATGCTATTTATGAAATCATTTAAAATATGTTTTTGACGCAAACGTTTTCAAGACATGACAATCAGTTTTAAAGAAACAGCTTTACTATCAAATCCATTAAATGTTGAAGTTGAACACTTACTTCATTTTAGTAAGTCTAAGATCACAACATTTTTAATGTCTTGACGTTTCGTACTAACAAAAATGTGGAAACTTGAATGAAGTTCTATTGATCTCAGAAAAGATAGAGCTAGAGATCTTTGGGGATATCCAGAGATCTTAAGGGGAAGTCCCCGAAACTTTATCGCAGACTATTGAATTGGTTAAAAAATCTATAAGCATGAACGATTCAGTATAGTTCCATGAG